CATTCCAGATACCGAGATAAGTATTTAAGTTCTCGGAAGAATTTTAAAGTTAAGCAAGATTAATCTGGATATGTAGAAGTTAAAGATATACATGTAAAAGTTAAAGATATACATGTAAAGGTTAAAGATATATATGTAATCTTTAACATGAAAAAGTTAAAGATAGTCTTTTTAATAAAAGACTAATATGTTTCTTTGGAAGAATTATTAGTCCCCAAAGAGAGATGAGTATAAATGATGAGTTTAATGCCATAAATGAGAAATGGCGAGAAGAAGTAAGAAAAGAAAAAGATTAACCGGAACTCTAGCACAAGCTAGGTGTTTTCGGGAAAATTTACAAATTCCTTAAAGTTTGGTATAGCTATTTATTAATGGTTATACTGTTCAAGTTATATGATTAGTAGTTTTAGAATGCCGCAAGGCAAAAGTTTCAAGACCACAAATGAGTAAAGTTTAAGAAGTATAAGATCGTGATTAAATCAATAAGTTATTTCAGTCCAGAAGCAAGTAGTATTGATGTGTGAATTAAGTTTATTCGAGTAGAGAATAGTTTACACAATCAATCTACTTGATAGAAATTCCAATAGTATGGAAAGTAAAAAGCAAGGCAAAGATACAAGCACATTGTTGAGAAATTCCTAAGAAGCTAGTACAGTAATATCTTAGAAAGAGTTACAGATAAGCATAAAGGAATTCTCAACTAAGTACAAAGTTATAGTACATAAAGGGAGGGTGCGTCTCAAGAGAACAAGACTCCATAACTCTGCCACCCAGCATGGCTGTAGTTTATAATGATAGATCTAAAGGATCAAATGCTCGCTTGCGTTTGAATCCTGGAGTTTCCACAGAATCTTGAACGGTTGAGATGCTGTTCTGAAGCTTCTGGATGAGTTCAGCTGATGTGTTTGCAGACTTGAATATTTCTATTTGAAAGGGAGATATAAAAGTTTGATACACTCCTTCATCTAGAAATCCAAGCAAGTGGTGGAAATAGTTGTTGAAATTTAACAAACCAATAGGTTTGGTATGAAATTTCATTTCTGCTCAAGTAGCAAGGGTAAATGCAGTCATTAAAGTTCCATATCCACCAGGAAGAATGATGAAAGCATCACAATTAGATATCATGGACATTAAACTGTCATAAATGGAAAGAGTAATCATCAAAGTAGCAGAATCTTTAACGGCCTTTGATGAAGTGAGATAAAAAGGAAGGATACTTCTCACCTGGATGTCAAAGCATTTAGCAGCTATTAAGAGGTTGTTAAAGAAGTAAATACTAGTTCCTCCATAAAATATGTTGATGTTATGTTTGCCCAACTCTTTTACGAGTTGGCTTACAACATATATGTTGTGAGGAACATTTACAAATTTGGAACCACCAAG